TCTAATAAATGGCCGATGCGCGAAATTGCACCAATCGTGCGCAGTTGTTGCAAACTCCTCCCACAACCAACGAGACACACACATCTGATTGTTGGATTCTTGGTGTCGGTAAGCAGCATTTGCCTTGTAGATCGACGGAGGGCACTGAAGGAGGGGCGGCACATGACAACATCAACATTGCTGACCCAGGTGCCTCGTGAAATTTGGGAGATAATCCTTCTCAATCTCCCCTACTACGAAGATTTGGTGGTGGCCTCGCTCACATGCAATCTCTGGCACAACATCCTTGCTGATCACCTCGTACCGCCCCCTCCTCTCCCATCTATGAAGTGTAGTTTTGCATCAGCCTATTTGTGCATTTTTAATTGATTTAAACCCATTTTAATTCAATTATTTTCTTTTTCAACAACAAAGGTGTGCCCGGCCAAGTGCTCGGTCGCGGCCTACGGGTGGAAGGTGGACCAGCCCTTTGTGTACAACTTTCTGCCGGGCACGCCGCCCAGCGAGAAGGACGAGAAGCTGCCGCTCGACCGCGCGGTCAACCACTGGGTCACCTGGCCTCACGTGCCCCTGTGCTTCGAGGTGCGCCTGATTCGTGTTGTGTGTGTGCGTGTGTGTGTGTGTGCGTGTGTGCGTGTGTGCGTCTGGTGTACCGGTCAAGCGGCGGGTGTGTGTGCGCGCATGCGACCTTGGCCTCACGCGTTCACCTTCTTTCAACTGTGTGGGCAGATTGTGCTGCGGGACCGACGGGAGCGCGGGCCACGATTCAAGTCCAGGGCACACTACGGCCTCAGTGTGCGATGGGTGTTCCGGGGTCTCATTCCATACATGGAAAAGGACCACCGGCGCATGGACATCGACCCCAGCCAGCGATTAGGCGTGGCTACTGGCCAGTCGCACACGCAGCACACGCCGCAGGGCGCTGGCGTGGGCGGCGCGCTGAGGGACTCGGGCAGCCTTAGGGAGCCGATGGCCGTGGAGGTGGTGGGGCACGTGGAGGGGCAACATACTGTCGTCGACGGGCCGCGGCCGGACGACGACGCGCACGCGGAGGTGGTCGGCGGCGAGCGGGAGCCGAAG